AAAAAAAGCCTTATTAAGGGAAAAATCTATGATGCAGAAAAGATATGGTATGGAAACAATTTTGATCAATCAAAACTCACTCATGAATTTTGATAAATAACACTATGTACCTTATGGTGTTTATGATTCTAGTTTTTTGGTCAGTTGTTTTTCGGATATTATATCTTTTCCATATCATAATTGAAACCTTTTATTAATTCTCATCATCCTGTACTGATGGTCAGTTTGGAAGGAGTACAAAATATGTACAGTATAAATACAAGAAAAATAATAAAAATACAAGGTTTTGCACTCTACATATTTGCATTTGTATTCCTTCTAAACTAAGCCTAAAGAATGTAAATACAAATATGTACAGTGTAAATACATACAAAATAGTATAAAATGCAATGTTTTACACTATATATTTATCTTTGTAGGCTGTGTATGGAAACGATGCAAATGGAGTGTAAATCCCGGTTCAGGGTAAATTTGCACTCTAGTTCACTTGCCTATATTTGGAAACATTATATTTATGCATTGACAAATGAGAGAAAACACTTTTTCTAATGCATATTTACATTGATAATAAGATGTAAAAGTGCATCAATAAAAAAGAAATAATTTTGTATTCAATTGGTCTTTTGATAAAAAAGACATATACTTTATTGGAATTTGTGTTTACATCCATTACAGATAAAAGTCTATTTGGTAAGAAGATAAATTTATCATGCAAAACTAATCCAACTTTACAATTTATATAAACCCTTTTACACTTAGTTTCCAAACACAGCCTAAAGGAATAAAAAAAAGACTTAATCTAAAATTTTAAATAGACACATGAGTTCACATCTCCTGCAATCAAATCAAGGTCACAGCATTCTCTTGCAACCGTTCAAAAAAACATAATGTGCCAATACAATTAATTCAGGGCATGATGTAAACCGATTTTCTTTCTTTATTTATTTATTTCAAAGAGTGGTGTATTGACGTTTCATTGGAGTTGCATGCGACCACTATCGCCGTAGATGTGCTCTCCTTTATACATAGGGCTACAAGTCAGATTACCGATTTAAAGAATTTCAACCATATCTGACTCGAATTAGGTTTTGGGCCCACTGAAAATTCATCAAAGTTTTATTCCAACCTAATTCAAATGGCACGTTTATTCCCAGCTGTATATCTGGAACATCAGTTGTACTTTATATTACCAATATTCTCAACGTGTGGATACACTGTACAAAATAAGCCTTCTTTGATAAAAAGATATTAATTAAAAAATTAAAAATAAAAAAGCTATTCTCAATTGGGAGAAACTCTAATACAAGGTCCAAGAATCCTTCTGAATTGGCTGCAGCGTCTGTCTATATGGCAGAAATGGATGGATTCCGTTGGAAGCTCCACATTCCTTTTCTTTTATACAATTTATAAAATTATCTTTTTTTTTTGTAAATAATTGACTCTACCATGTACTAAAAATAAACTTCTTAAATTGAAAGATTAATCGTGGGAATTGTATGGTTGCAGACTGTTTTCAATCCATCAGTCGGATCGGAGACCTGGTCACAGGGTAAAAAAAAGCCAAATGGGTCAACCTCCAACCCACTATTTTTACGAAACACCAGCATTGACTTGATGATTCAAAACCATTGACCCATCTGGCCGTTTCTTTTAGGTGTCCAAGTCGGGAATCCGATGAAGAACATACACTGCATCAGGTTTAGGTTTTGGGTTTGTCAATTCAATTTTAACAAAATCCCGACTCAAATTGACCCTAATTGTACCCTTAATTTCGTTTTTTTTTCTTATTTTTTTGGCTTAATTTGGAAAAAATACAAATATAAATATATATACAGTGCAAAGCTTTATATTTTATACATATTTTGACGACAATATTTTATAATCTGTATTTGCACTATATATATATTTGTATCAGTACTCTTTCGGTACTGAGCCTTAATTTTTTTATATTGGTTGACCCACATTCACCTGAATGATTAAGCTGCTAATCCATTGAACCAGGCTCAGTTTGGAAGGAGTATAAATGCAAATTTGTAGAGTGTAAAACCTTATGCTTTTTATTATTTTGTATGTATTTATATTATACATATTTGTATCTGTATTTCTTTCAAACTGAGCCCAAGGAGTAAAAATATAAATGTGTATGATACAAATACAAGAAAATAATACAAAACATAAGATTTTGCACTCTATGTATTTGCATTTATACTCCTGGAAAAACAGTTTTTACTTTTTAACCAAAAAAAGGGAAATACAGTTCAAGCTCCACGCCGAGTTTTAATTAAAACACTAACCAGAGGAAGCTTTGTAAATAATAATTATTAGAAAACCACAACTAAAGAAGAAATGCGCTAGAGACACGCATGTAACATGTAACATAGAAAAGTAAAACCAGTCTTCGGTGATATAAAATAAAACTAGTTATAAGGGTATAGATCTGCTGCGGCTGAAGAAGCTTCAGTAGCAAAACATGATCTTGTTCTTCTAGCTTAAGGGCCGTTTGATAGAATTCTACGGAAATTTTACTTCCCAAAATTCTACAATCAAGTTAGGTGGACTCCATAATCAGGTAGGATTATGGAATTTACTTCAAGAATATGTTAGAAATGTAATCATATTAAGTAACTTAATTTGGAGTATCTCTAATAAGTGATAAAATGTAGGGATGGCAACGAGGTGGGCTTGGAGAGGGTTTTGTAAATTCTAGACTCTATTCATATGCTTAAACCTCCCAACCCATATCCGACTTAAAACTCATAGCGGGTTGGATTTTGAGAATCCAAACCCCCTCCGCACATAAAAATGTAAAACCCTTTCCAATCCTAGCCTCCTTGCATTCAAGGGTAGGGGCAGGTTGGGTCTAGAACCCGTAGAATTTCCTATTATTTCTTGTTATATATAAGCAATAAATAAGTAAAATAATACAAACAAATAATAAAATTTCTAATTATTTGATTAAGACATGTAAAAAACACATAAACTATCAATGGTCATTCACATACAATTCAAAATATTATTAAATTTATATGCTTTCCAATTCCAACAATATACCGATTGGAGAGAGTTGGGCTTAGCCTAATACTGTATCCTATCTATACCTATATGGGTTGTAGAATCCCAATACCTGTCCCCCGTCCTAAAACCCATATTTCAAGCAAAAAAAAATCGCCCCATCTGGACGGATACCCATCAGGTAGGATATCCAATAATTAAAGAGATTTAATTATTGACTGGTCACATGTATAAAAGACTATCTACAGCACCCACACAAAGAAAAGATCCATTACAACTTACAAGTTTAAGGGGTTAGAAGAATTAGGACATACAGAAAAGGACTTGGGTTGGAATGGTAAGAAATGATTTGAACACCATACTGTAACAATGAAAATGACACTGAACAAAAGGGAATAACTAAACATGATTCATATAGTCAATCCCATATAGGTGGGAGACATGTAGAACTCGAACAAAATGCCTCTGTTGGCTAATCCTAAATAGAATCTAGAATTCTAAAAAAAGAAAAAGAATTTCACAAAAATATTAATGTTATTTCCAGGCTTCCAGCCTTTAAGAAGTGTTCACGGATGTAAAAGACTATAAGCACAGGAAGGTGAGAAGCCATTAGAAATCGATGTGTTTGAGTTAGTTGACATGCGTCCCCAAGGATTCAGAAACTGATGACGAAGTCCAAGCAGAAAGGTACTCTGACTTATGAGTTCTGAACATGAAATTGGATGACTGGGGTTGATCAGGAGGAATACCAATTACCAAAGAAACATTGATTTTGAAGTTTGTAGGGGAGTGTCAATTTGGGCACAGTGTCACACCCTAAAAAAGGGCACTCTCAGAAAAACACGGAAGTGCCTTATTTATTAATTAATACCTAAGTGGTATCTTCTGTCTTCTCAACATGAGTGATGTGCTCCAATCACTGCCCTCAGAAGAGGGGCATTTTTGAAATAAACTCGAGATAATTAGCTCTGGTTAGAACCTAGAGGCGCCTTAAAGTCTCCACAAAATTAGCATTACGAGCTTAATTAATAAAGTCAGTAGTTTCAAGGTGGTGTTTGTCTGTAATATTTTTCAACAGAAACCCGTTTCATTATTTCTTTTTCATCTTTTTACAAGGAAGATAATGGAAAACAAAACAAGATTGTTAAGCAACAAAGCTGAATTACTAAGCATGGTTGCAGCAGGTAGTGGAGTGGTTGAATGTTGCCATGGTTGACGCCCCGAAACCAGGTTTCTCGTGCATGATTTGGCTTAGCTTTTCCTCAGCATGCAAATCACTAATTCATTTGTGCCATGCTTCCGGTATGGTCCGGGACCCACCTTCCTTCCTGTGGGTCCCCGGACCTTGCTATTTCCTTTTAATTAAAGATCACGCCCGTCAAGCCTGTGGACTCAGTTCTTACCTTGACCTCTCACCATCTTTTTATATATATAAGACTCCAGAGATAATGGTAATGGATGAATTATATATGCATGGTTCGATAATTGTATAAGATCAAGTTGATCAAATTGCCTTGGCTTACCCTACTGACAAGATCAGACGGTCATTGTTGTGCCAATTGGAAGGATAATGAGTATACTTAGATAGACTTTCTACATGAAAAGGGAAAAGAGTTCAAGTTCAAGGCTTCAAGCAAAGATGGCTAGCTCCACCACAAATTCACTAAGCTAGAAGAATCAAACAGCCTTTTTTTTTTCTTTCTTGGGCAACTGCATTATGAAGATTAGTTTAGATTAGAGCTCTTGAGCCAAGGAGATGAGAAATAGTTTAAAGGGTAGAGAGTGGAAGACAGGAAACAGCGCCCACGTTCCTACTCTCTTTCTTTATTGCTCACTCTCCCCTACAACCAAGCCCTCTTGAGTCTTGACAAAGTGTGTAGTGTATCTCACCAAGGAATAAATATATGCCCCTTCTCTTGTGACCCTCCATAAATACTCTCCATCTCCATACCCAAATCCCTCTCTCTCTCTCACTCTCTCTCTCTCTTCTTTATAAGTGACCTCAGTTAATAACCAAGTGCAAGAAGAACTCTCTTTGCCATTAGCACTGTCATCGTCGCGTCGATCGATGTGATCATGGTAGGGACTCATGTTCCACTGGTTCTGACTGAATTGCTATTGTCTTATTGTTTCTTTCCTCTGATCGAATTCATGCTGATGTTTTGCAGGGAATTCAGAAGCCTGCGTGGTTAGAAGCCCTCTACACACAGAAATTCTTTGTGGGGTGTTCGACGCATGACACTGCAAAGAAGAATGAGAAGAATATACTGTGTCTGGATTGTTGCACCAGTATTTGCCCCCACTGTTTGCCCTCTCACAGATACCACAGACTCGTTCAAGTTCGCCGCTATGTGTATCACGACGTGGTTCGACTGGAAGACCTGGAGAAGCTCATAGACTGCTCTAATGTGCAGGTAAATTAGTTCAAGGACTATCAACAACTACTAGTAGTTGTTGGGTCATATTGGTTAAATTATCTCTCTCTTTTCTTTGTTAATTGTTGTGTTCTTCTAGGCTTATACCATCAATAGCGCCAAAGTGATATTCATCAAGAAGAGACCCCAGAATAGGCAGTTCAAGGGCTCAGGCAACTACTGCACTTCCTGCGACCGGAGCCTGCAAGAACCTTACATCCATTGCTCTCTGGGGTGCAAGGTAATAGCTAGCGACCCTTAGAATTATAAAGGGTTTTTGTTTATTTATTTCATTATCTTGAAATTTTTGTAAAAAATAAACTACATTCTCTCTTCTCTTCTTTATACAATTTCATTTTCAGAAGAATTATTGCAATTGGACCATGAATTTCACTACTGGATATTAGAGTACTGAATTGTGGTAAAAGGGTAGTGTTCTAATGTTAATTTTGCTGTTTATCATCAGGTGGACTTTGTATTAAAGCATAAGAAGGATCTCTCTCCTTATTTGAGGACATGTAACTCGTTACAATTATGTCCAGACTTGTTAGTCTCTCAGTATGCCGGAGAGGAGGAAATGACCAATGAGACGCCGCGTTCGACAATTGTGGACTGCGACGAGCCCATGAGTTCGTCTTCAGGGTCATCAGCGTCCGAGAACATGAGCGTCGCATGCACAGACTTTGTTCGAAAGAAGAGAAGTAGTGGGTTATACGTGTGTGCACGGTCAGCTGGTAGGGTTTCAGACGAGGACATGGCCACAAGCATTAGTAGAAGAAAAGGCATTCCTCATAGGTCCCCTCTGTGTTAGAGAGAGTAATTTAATTGCCAAGACCTCTTCAGTTCTTCTCCTTATTTTCTTAACTGACTTCATCAATTGCCTCATCACTTTCTTCTTCTAATCTTCTTCTTCATCTCTCTTTCTCTCTTTCTTTAGATAGTTTTTATTAATCATAAATTAATTAGTCGGTCGGGGGGTTTGTCTTAATGGCATCACGTGATTCCCAATTCCGAGTTTTAACGCTTGTACATTTCTCGGAGGCTTTCTTAAATATTTAATATATCAGTTCAAGTTGGAATTTGGAAGTACGTCCTGATGCCTGAACTCATTTTCTCACGTTAACTGGGTATTTCAGACTTAGTTTTAGCATTTTCTCTGTTACTTTGTCAAGTAATGGGTGGGTGGGTCGTGGGTTGAATCAAGAATTGAAGTATGTATGGTTCCTCTCTCTCTCTCTCTCCGGCTATTTGGGTTCTTGGAGGAGTGGTCTGGATACTGGATTGCAGTCCCCAGCAATCTAATATTCAAAAACTTTGTTTTAAGTACTTTTGTTATTGCACCGATTCCAAATGCTAAAAAGCAATTCCACTTGGGAGTTGAGACTATGCAATTTCCGTTGTTGGCTCATTCGTAATGACAACTTCAGGTGCTTTTGGCTAGTAAAAAAAATGGAAAAGAGGGAAGTTGTGGTTTCTCAAGAAATGTATAATAAAATTTTCCACAACTTTCCTTTCCTCGCTTATTTTCACTTTTCAAAGAACCAAACCTCCATTGGTTGAATGGTTCAAGAAGGTTTTCTAGCCTTTGTTACTTGGGTGCATTAATTTACCAGTGGAGGGAGAGAGAGAGAGAGAGAGAGAGAGAGAGACCAAGTGTCATCAATTCCCTGTATAAGTCCTCTTTCAGAAGATACTAATCCAATTAGTTGGAAGCCAATTGTAATTTGGGAAATATTAGAACTCAATAACCAGGTTATCTCTGTATATATCTAGCTAGGCATTGAATGATACAATGATTATTTTCTCACTATTTCAATGATCAACTACAATTTACACGAGAAATCTCCAATTTCTCATGTGTGCAGTTTAACAGTTAAAGTCAGCTGGATGCTCGAGGAGTGCACTCGTGTCTCTATATTTTAATATACTAGTTTAAAGCTAGCTTTGAATTAAATTAAAGGGCTAATGTTCTTAATTAGTTAAAGAGGTACCCTCCAATTTTTATCACCTTACTCATGGAGATGGACGTCCTAAAAAGTAATTTCCTGAAAGGGAAGGGACTTCCTTTGACTTTGACCGTCACAGACAATTTCGTCAGAGAGCTTGGGGGGGGGGGGGGATTTAAACCTTCAGTTTTGACCAGTCAAGCCTCTTTGCACATTTTACTTCCACACCCAATATGTTTGTAGTAGATGTAGAGCTAGTTGTTCTAACGGGTTCACTATCCAAAATTGATCCATTTTACTGGGCACAAGTAGTCTTATAGTGATGACCATGTTGGGAACTCAGATACTCGGTTCGGGTTGTAAGTATAGATAAGATCCCACCCGGATTTTTTTTTTAATTTTGGGGTAGGGGCGTTCAGATTGCTTTAGAGTTCAGATATCATCATTGTGTGGGTGGGGAGAGTATGGTTTGGAGAGGGTGTGCAGCGATACATGTTTCTGTGATGCTTACTATTCCTTCTCTTTAGTTGTATAAAGCTTCTTTATTTTTAAGCTTTTTCTAGTATAGTTCCTTTCTTGTTAGCCAAAGAAATATATATGACAAGTTATACTCATGAAATGCTCGAGTAGATAGGACACTGTACATATTGCAACTTGCAAGACTTTTTTTTTTTTCTTTTCTTTTTTATTGTTAGTGGACATACATATGCTTCAAGGCAAACCAAATAATCTAAACTGAGCAATACCAAATTTAGAATTCGCGGTACACAAGATTCAGAAAGCAGTCAAGGGAATGAGTGTTGCACAAAGCTAATATTAGGTTTTTGAGAGAGAGCATATAGAGGCCATAGAAGCTTAGACTAGAGGTAGAGGGAGACACTTGCAGACTAAGGAGTGAAGAGGAGACTGGATGTATGGTTAAGAGGTTTTCTGTTTTATAAACAACTTCTGGGGTGTTGGCCAATATGTATGATTTTGATTTTTTTTCATAAAACAAAAACAATTGCCACATCAGCAAAATGAATTGTTTTCACCAATTTATTTTTGCTGACCTGGATTGTTTTAGCTAATTTATTTGAACTACACTTTTATATCCAAATTTTGAATTCTATATGAGAGAAAGTCTGTTGGACTTCACCTAAAAGGTAGGAAGTAGTTTGCTATTATTAACATATAATAGTATAGCTATAAAGTAGTGTCTACATTCCTAAATAAATCATCCCTTATATCACAAGTCAATCCCCATGCTCCCCTTCATATAAAATTTCTTTCTTACCAAGTTCTCATATGGTCATATGACATGAATCCTAAGAGAGAGAATAAGGCCAAGGAACCAACTTAAATTAATTCCACAATTCTCATCCTTCCTATAATCATTAATATTCTGACTCATTCCACAAAGAGTTCTGAATTTTTTTAATCACTCTACAGAGGGGAAAACCCTCCTGAAGTTAGTCTCTTAAAACAAAATTTAGGTCTTTAAATTATGTTTGGATTGAAAGAAAAGGTAGGAAAACCTATACATGGTTTGTAAAGGCTTCCCTTCCTTTCCCTACTTTTTCCTTCAAACCAAACCCAACCTTAATATCTGAATTTTGCATCCAATCCCCTGGTTCATGAGTCCAGAATTACAGCACTACATTTCGAGGGAAGAGAGAGTCCTCACGCCCTCGAATCCCTGTCAAAGGGATCTAGTGATTAACGAATTTAAGGCAAAGGAATTTGGAGTAGGTATTTGATGACATGGACAAAGAAGAGTAGTTTGTAGAGACAAGTTAAACGGAGCAAGCCACCATGAATGATGTTATTGCCAAATATCTTGAAAATGATAAGCATATTTTTGTAACTGCAAACAAATTAAGTACTGCTTAAGTCATAAAAGATTTGATGAAAATGTGTATGTCATTGACACGGTAGAAACAACTACTGTAGTGAGTTATCATGAAAATGGAAATATAGAAAATAATACAAATAATAGGTAGAGTAGAAATAAAAATAAATAAATAAATATTATATATAAATAACAGATATAGAGTAGAAAAGCAAGAAATAATTAACAATACTAACGAGTTATAAATTTTTGAATCCTAGATTGTATATCTTATTATAAGATTGCCAGGCATGGTCCATTATGATAATGGTTTATGGTTGTCTCTTTCTATACCCTTTGCAATAATTTAGGCCCTGTTTGGATAATCTCCCACTTTTGAGCTTTGGGCTGTGAGAAACAATAATAAGTTAAAAAAGTGTTTTCAGTATTCTCTAAAAGATGCTTTTAAAAACACATCAATATAAAAGGAAAATCACTTTTAAGCCCCAAAACAGAAAGCCTAAAATCCGGGCTTTTTCTTTTGGGCTTTAAAAAATACAAACCCTGAAGCTTATCAAACACAACCTTAATAAAAGACAGTACTTTAAAGTTTAATCTTTTGGCTTTAAAACGATAACCTGATTTTGCAACCACATATTTGATATTTCACATGTTTTGTAAGAAAAAAATGGTAGGTTTTAAATAAAGACAAAGACCTCAGCAAAATAAATAAATAAAGACAGTTATAAAGGTAGGAAGCTTATACACTATTTTCCATTATTACAGTCATAACGGCCATGTATACAGTTCTTGTTTTTTCCTCATTATTTACTACTATTTTTTTCTCAACACAGAAATTGTTTAGATATTTAATTTGTATAATAATTATTTAGTACCAAAAATTAGATATTATAATTGAGTAAAATTGGGTCAGCAGCTTTTGCAATGGAGATAAATAATAGTTAAAAAAAGTCCATTATTTTCTAATATTAGTCAAAAAAAATAATGTTGTGGTCCTAAGCCTACTACCTTTATCAATGATTTAACGAATACTATTAGTAAATTATAATAATATTAAAGAGGAATTATAAATTTCCATCTTTTTCTTTGTCCTGGAGAACACCTTCCTCCCATTGGCAGCATTTGCTTCATGCAGAGAATATATGTGCTTAGATCTCCTGGTTCAACGAGTACAAGGACCATTCATATGTAGCAGACTCTTCCAAAACCCCCAAAACAAAGAAGATGGTTAAGCACTATATGTATTATCTCCAAAGCTCCCAGTTATTAGGGTATAATTTTGGCGAATTTCATCGACTTCGGATTGGAAAATTGTTAAAATTTTAATAGCTTGGTCTAAAAGCCTAAAATCCCGAAAATGCAGTATAAATTCTTCAAATCGGATTCATTTTGCACCCTATCGACTATATATATATATATATATATTTTTGAAGCCTGATAAGGCCAATTAGAAAAAAAAAAACTTTCTTTCTAAATAGAAAGTCCCATTTTCCCTTATCTCTTTCCTCTTTCATCTTTGTAATTATGTTTCCTCAATGAGAATAATGAACCAGGGCATGCTTGCCCTTGGTGAAGCATTTTTCTGTTTGTGTATGTATTTTTTGTAAATGGGCCATGTTGGGCTGGGGCAACGCAAATCCCTGACCCATTAAACCTTTGGAGCGGGCTGGGCTGAACACCTTAACACTCTCATTAAAGGGACTTCCTTACATGCTGGAGATCCAAGTAGAGCACATGGAGAAAGAAATATTTTCTACTCATTTCCATCATTTGACTGGTAAATACTGAACGTGAATGGAGTCCTCTCCAACTCAACAATCGAACCAAATAAACATGCAAGGATCAATTAGCAACATTGTATTTGTACCCAAAAGCATATTCAAAAGCACTATCCCAACCAAACTCCTAAGCATAAAGATTTTCATTTTGCTTGTAATCCTTTCAAACCAATCATAAACCATATATCTTTAGAATACTGTTTGTGGGACCCAACTGTACTGACAGTTGGGGTACCCACTTGAAATGACACCACTCCATATTTTAAATGTAGGTTAATTTGTAAGGGCATACAATAGAATACTGGTTGAATTGCTTACCCACCACTAGGAGGGAAGAAAATGGTTTTATTTTTAAATTACTTTCCAAAATATTTATTTTTATACTATTAAAATTAATATTATGGATTAAATTACAAGAGTTTAATGATGAGAAAAATATATCTTAAATTACAAGAGTTTAATAAAAGTATTTCTTATTTATCATACTTATTATTGTTTAATATGTATGTTAAAAAATGTTTCCAATTTTTTTCCAGTTTCTATTTTTTTTTCATTTTATCTATTTTTTAATTTAATTAGTTAATCGTGGCAACATGGATTTTAACCCATTTGACCCAAAATGATTTAATTTCTCACCACCTAGATGAAAACTCTATTTTTGCTAGGTAGATTTTAAAAGTATAAGCTTTTATGTTATTGGAATTATTAATTTATTAAGTATGAGTTTAATTAATAGAACTTGATGATGAAAAGAAACAAAAATGAGTTAAATATATCATTCAATGAACATAAATGTAAGTTAATAACTTAAATGTTAGATTTAATGAGAGAGATCGAATGCATTAAATATCTTTAAATTACCTCTTTTAAACTCATTTAATATCAAGAACCAATTGCCCTACTTGCGCTCAAATTTTTATCAATAAATTTAAATATTAAAAAATAAATTTTATCCTTAAAAAATTCCAAAAATATTTTTAAGGCTATTTATGCTTTTTAAAATAATATAGATATAGATTGTTTAACTTTCGTTTAACAAATGCCAGAAATCGCACGGATCCCTCTCCTATATATGTATGATTGAACTGAATTTAGTTTATTTGAGTGCTCAAGGCAAGTGTGGATTATCTGTAAAATTTTGTAAAGAAATGAATGCATAGTTATTAGTTAGGGCCCGTCCAAGCATGCTCATTTACAAGTTATAATCACTAACTATACACGTTTGCTTGTTATTGAAGAGGCCAACTGGGCAGTGATTGTTTCTCCAAATTTGAAAAGAGATGGGCCCTACATAATAAATAAGGAAAGTACTGTAACTATTATTATTATGGGGACGAGCTTCATTTGTCTGACACGTAATGGAAATTCACAGTACACCCGTTAGCGTAGGCCGTTAATCAGAGTCCTCGAGGTATTGATGTGTGACTCCACCTTAAATTTGATGAATTGACTTTTTAAGATGGACCCACAAACCTAGCCAAGGTGAAAGGCCGTGATTTCGGGTTTTATGGAAGGCTAAATTTTACCTCGGTCCACACGAATCTCGCTCGCTTCCTCTTCTTCTCTGATTCTCTCCCTCTCCCGTCGGCCGTCTCGGCGTCTCCCGCTCTCTCCCTATAAAATATTTAATATTAGATATTAGATATATCCCTCTTATCTTTTAGTTGACCAAACTGCCCATCACTGCTTTCGTCAGCCAACCAATCACCCGGCAAAATGGATTCGAGCATTATTTTTGTGACGAAACTACCCTTACGCAGTGCCCCAAAAAATAAGTCCACGTTTTATAATTACGAGGTCTGTCGTACACTCGTACCCCTTTGAGTGGATAGCCAAATCATTTTGGCTGGTCCACATAAAGTGCTGTGAATGTGATGGGTCCCGGAGTTCGAATCCTTTCCATTTCAAATCCAATTTCAATATATATTCTAACTCTACCTGCAAGGAGTCGTTTGGATGACTTTCACATTTCAACTAAAGCTTACTTTTGATTGAAAAAAAGAAGAAGCAAAAGCTAACATAAAAATATTTATGAAAAGAATTCTATTATTTTATCAAAAGAATAAGAAATGCGTTTTATGCTTATCCATGTTTTATTTATTGGGTTCACATTTGATAAAGGAAAAATATGATATGGAAAAAAACTTTTTTAGCTATTTATTTGAGGTCTAAGGAGATGCCATTGTAAATTAGTACTGTTGCCATTTTTCAAGACCTGGATCCGATATAAAATGAGAAAACTAAACTGGGTCATCTTTAATTTATTGGTTTAACCTGTAATTTGGGAGGTACTTGTCTAGAAAAGCTTGATATTTAAAACCAAAAAAAAAAAAAAAACAGTCTATATGATTTTATTTTTAAAAATAGAATATGTTTGGTATCAATGGTGTTTGTTTAACAAATTTTTGTACGATTTTGTGTCGAAAATTAAGATAAAATCTGTTTTAAATAATTTTTAACACCTCAACACCAATAGGCACCATATAAGTTAAATAGTTAAAGAAAACTCCATTGAAAACGAAAATGCATCATTTTTGCCATTTTTCTGATAAATGACTCATATAAATGGAGAGACACATTTATCAATTAAACGACCCAACTAAACATCATTTTCTACGATTTTGTAATAAACGCTTTTATGTCCCTCAACTGGCATTTAGCTGAGGAAAAAGCCATGGGTGCCAAACAACATCTAAAACAGCTGCCACGTCAACAAAATCTGGAACCATAATTCTCAAGTTACCGGAAAACTTTGGCTGTTGGGAGCAACGTAAGTTCACCCATTTACGCCCATATCTATCTTTTTTTAGTCAAAGTAAATAGGGGCAATTACTATTTTACCCCATGAAACTTTCCTGATAAAGTGACATTCGCAAGAATGTTTTCAAAAGCAAGGCCAAAACTTTTTGCGAGTTTCCGATTGGAGGTCACATCTCCGCCCCACCAGGAGCCGCTCACAACACCTCCACAGGCCACAGCACATCTCCGCCGTGTATTGTGAGCATTTCCCGATGATAACACTAATTTCGATGATGTCATCATCGAGAAATATTCTCAATACACGGCGGGGATGTGCTATGTGGCGGAGATGTGATCTCTACCGATTGTTGGACACCGTACCAGCCTGACGGAAATGCCGGAAAATCGAACAACAATAATAATGACAGGTATAGATTCCCATCGTGAGTGTGTCATCATTAGTACTTGGTAAGGGTATTCATGTCATTATGTGGAATTCTACGGTTTTTGTCGTTTCAAATTCAAGGGGTATTTTCGTAAAAGACAATTGCTAATACCAAAGAAAGTGAAAGATCAATGTCCTTTCTCTTTTCCTCTTTTATTTTTAACCGTTAATGAAAACTCGGCAGGCAGCCCAATTTGAATGCAAAGAGATTCCTACCACCCCCCTGTCTCCCAAGTATTTATCGATCTTTTTCCTCTGTTACAACCGAGCTTTCCGAGGAGAGTCTCCGAGCTGTTTGTCTGAACAAAACCAGAGACGGAAGAAGGAACAAGGAGGAACGACAACCAAAATGTTACGCTTCAGATCACAGGCTTTCCTTCTCCTTCCTGCCTTTCTCGTCATATTTTCTACCTTCTTCTCGTTTTCTCATGGGGTTTCTCAGCTTCACCATCTCCAAACGACACCCATAACAGGTACATTTTCTCTTTTCCCATTCTCTTTCTCTGCAAGGTGGTTGATTTTTGGAGTACATTTTTCTTTCTTAGAACGAAGCTTGTTTGTTTTGGATTAAAAGTTTTTCTTTCTTTCTTCTCGTGTAGGGGTGATGAATGAGGAATATGGTGGGTTGGTTTCATGGTGGACGAGGCCCGTTGTCGAGGAGACAAATGCCAACATTTCGTCTCTTGTATTAGCTAAAGAGAGAACTTACAGGACAGACCCTCTTGATGGTTACAGGCATTATACCGGTGGATGGAATATCAGTGAAGAACATTATTGGGCTGTGAGTTTCTCGAATTCTCAAACGTTTACCTCATCTGGGTTTTGCTTGTTTGTTGTGGGCTGTGGCTTTTAAGAATCCCAAATAATTTTTCTTCCTCTGGCTTTGGCTTGCTTGTGTTGGCTCATCAGTTTGTGGAAATTTGAAACAATTCTCTATTATGTTTTCTGGTTACTTTAACGGGTTGTGAATTTTGGGATTGTGTTTGCATCTGACTAATCATGGGTTTCTTTAATCCTGGATGAATTATCTCAGCAGCGATTTATTGGTTTTGAAGTTGGGTTTCGGCCTTTTTTGTTTCTCTTCCTAAAATTCTTTTCCAATTTAGTCTGTAGGTTTTACTGCAGCTCCCCTGTTTGCCATTGCTGCAATCTGGTTCGTGGTCTTCGGGCTCTGCTTATTGCTCATGTTTTTATATTTTTGCTGTTGTCATCGAAGGCCTTATGGTTATTCTCAAGCAGCCTATGCTTGCTCTCTTATTTTTCTTATTCTCTTCACCATAGCTGCAATGTAAGTCTCCTTAACTGTTGGTTGTTTCCTTTTTTTAATATTATATATGTTTTAGTTGATCCTGTGTGATTCATCAATGATGTTTTTCATGGTTTCAGCCTTGGATGCATTATTCTGTACACAGGGCAGAGTAAATTTCACAGCAGTACAACAAATACACTGGATTATGTTGTGAATCTGGCAAATACCATTGCAAATGATCTTAGAAATGTATCAGATTATCTTTCTGATGCAAAGAAGATTGGAGTGAATCAGGCTTTCCTACCTTCTGATATTCAGACCAAGATTGATGATGTTGGAACAAAGGTCAATTTTGCTTCTGCCACTCTTGAAGAGAAGACGCTGGATAATTCTTATAGGATACAGAATGTCTTGGATACCGTGTAATCAAGCGGCTTTGTATCTTCTTTCTTTCCCAAATGCAATTAATGACCATGCGACTTGTTCTTTTGGCTGAGTTGATGTCTTATTATCTCTTGCAGGAGACTGGTTCTTATCATACTCTCTGCTGTAATGCTTCTCTTGGCATTTCTTGGTTTCTGTAAGTATGATGGTCTTGTCCATTATTCTGAATTATGCTACATCTTTCCAATTATATGATATATTTTCACTTGTGGTCTCATGATTTTGATTATTGGTTGCAGTGTTTTCTATTCTCGGCATGCAATGTCTTGTATCCGTGTAAGAGAGAACTTCATAGACTTGATTTTCCTTTTCTTTGAACTTGAAAGCATATGAGCATCAAGTATCTTACTAGATATTGTATGTTTAATTTGTGCAGCTTGGTGGTCATTGGGTGGATTCTTGTTACAGCCACATTTATTTTGTCTGGAACATTTCTTCTTCTTCACAAGTAAGTTCTGTCATATTACATTTTCAATAACTAGTCCATTTATATCTGGGTGAATTCTTGTTATATTTTCAATAAGTTCTTATTTTTCTTTTAGTGTTGAGAAAAATATTGCCCTTGACAGAGTGGGTTTAGGTGTTTTAATGTTTAATAGCGGATATTGCCCTTGATAGAGTGGGTTGGGTGAAATTCATAAAAAAAAGTGGTTTCATGAAACAGGATTCATGTATCTGGCCCCATATACTAATCTTCAGACAAGGCTTTTTTTAATCAAAAGTGTTCTGCATCTTGTGCAGCAATCTCCTTTATGTGGTCCTTTAGTTTTTATCTTCTTAACAAAAAGTAAAAACAGCTGTGGTTGAATACTGATATTTTTGTTTTTTTTTTCAAGGAGTTCTATAAGAACCTTTACCAGCAATGCTGTTAAAAAAAAAAAAAAATTAATCTTTACCAGCAAGTACAACAGACTTGCAGAATCAGTTTTTGATGGCACATAATATATATAGTGCAACTTTCATTGCCTTTATTGTGTGCAGAAGATCAATTTGAAAGTTTCAAGGGAGTGACGTTTAAATAGAGAAGAGGAAGAAAAAATCATCACATTTAGTATTGTCATTTGCTGCTTTGCTTTTTAGTTTTCATTGGCATAGGATCTGTTTCATAGAGAGTGATATCTAAGGGTCCATTTGGTTCACGGGAATAGGGGTCTGCAATTGGAACTGGAACCATTCCAATTCCAACTGTTTGGTTGGGTGGAATTGGAATCCATTCCCATTGCTGGAGGAATGGCATTCCCCCATTTGAGGGAAAGGCCATTCCCTCCCCCTCCCTTGGCAATGAGAATCCATTCCATCTGATTCTGATTCGGGTTCCAATTCTCATCTCAACCAAACAGGTGGGAGGAATAGACCATTCCGATTCTGATTCCAATGGATTGTGGTTTTGATTCCGATTCCAACTGCGACCAAATGGACCCTAAAATGTGACAACCTTTGATCTTTCACAATTGAAAAACCAGCTTCTGATCTCATACTCTGAAATACCATCCCACAGGCTGTAGCTTTGTCAATTATCATCTATATCCAGCCTATAAACATTTAATATCCATACTCTACTTGAGTTTTCCATTGACAATTTTGTTGCTGCCTGAGTATCAAGATTGCTCGTCATGATTTATCTGTTTCTCTAAGAATATCTTTCACCGAAGTACAAGAAGGGTGGAACGGATGTATCAAATTCAAAAAAGAAAAAAAAATCAAATAAAGTTCATTTTAAAACTTAGACACTAGCCTCATGTTCTTTTGATTAAGTAAAGGTTAGTCATTGAAATGTATGAATAAAATTCTACCTACTTTTGTATCTTTTTAGAATATGAAAGCACTTATCCAGTGCTGGACTTTCCCACTCTGTGGGATGCTTAAGGATAGGGCTGCAAGTTGGGCTGGGTTAGGTTGGGTTGAGGCCAACCCTAGCCCAACCCTAAGTTCTAAACCCCAACCCTAACCCTAACCCAACCCGATCTGCAACCCAATCAACCCAATCCTAACCCTAACCCTAACTAAATTCCTTCAACCCTAACCCAACCCAACCCAACCTTCTTCCCATCCCTTAAAACCTTATAGAATTTCTCGATTTTAGATCTTAACTCAACTTCCACTACATATATTAATCCTATGTTTCATTAGTATTTGTTTGTTGATGTTTTTTTTTTTTTTTTGTTCTTTTGGTACAAAATTCAGAAAAAACAAGTGTTAGAAATGACTATAGTTTATTATTATTTATGGGTTATGGCTTACGATAAATCTTTTTTGGACGGAAAACAACATAGAGGAGATGAAGAATAAAATTTTCATAAAAACACAAAATAATGTTATTAAGGTTTTAGTCTTTCTGATTAGGATTAAGTGAAGTGATTATCTTAAAAGAAATACATGATACTATGTGGTGGGGGCTATGCAAATATCATGCATCTAAACAAATCAGTGAATGTAATATTACATATAACATATATTTATATATGACATGTACTATAAAGTCGAGTTCATGAATTTCAATCCTAACCCTAACCTGAACATCAACCCGACCCAACCCAACCCAACTTTTTCGGGTTAGGTTAGGACCAACCTGGCCCAAGTTGCAGCCTTACTTAAGGATCAGGATGGGAGTTCCTCTGTTCCTTGCAATGTATAGAACTTATTGGTTGTTACTATTTAGTTTCAAGGACATGTCCACTTAAAACCAATGTTAGAGAAAAAGAAGGTCTGTCTACAACTAACAATGTTTGGAGGATATGCTAGTGTGGTGGATCAAGTTTATTTAGAAAAGGAACAAAGGTCTATGAAACATTTTTCAAGGAGATAGGAAAGAGGCTTTACAAGTAAACTTTCTCTCTCTTAATAATTCAGCTGATTTGATAACAAGCTTTTAGATTTACAAGAACACTACAAGGATTTCTATTCATATGTCTCTAAGGGTAGCAATGTTTTGGATGGATGAAGGATTGGTTTAAGTGCTCCATTCATGGACTATAAAAAAAGGAAAAAAAAAAAAGGAAAAGGCTCCTAGTTCAGTGTTACCTTCTTCGTCTAAAGATAAACATTGGATATGATTAAGTTATTTGGAGCAGGCAGATTTTTTAACTAAGTAGTAGGAAAAAAGATGGTTTTCTTGTGAATGAACATTCACAAGATAAGGTGATATTAGGGAAGAGGAAAAAGCTACGATGTTAGAATGGCCAATAAAAATAACATTTTGCAACAAGATAAGGTGAACTTGTATTTCATTAGTTAGTGGGCGTTTGGAAGGAATTTGGTACATTTCATGGGAAACCAAGGTTCAAAATATGTCTACACTCCGATATAGCAGAAGGGGTGTGTCAGTACTTTGACCCTTGTACTTTCTTAATTCTTTAAAAATTGAGTATTGGAAATATTATTATATGTTCTAATTATTAAAAGCAATACTTAAAAAACATTTAAATAGGTGTATCGGGATTTTAAACCTTGTGGGAAGCTTTGTCAATCAGAATACTTATAGTCTTTTAAGGTTTAACATTAAGACTGATAACTTGTGGAAAATAAGGGCTGATGTGCAAAAAGGGTGGTGGTGAAGTAGGAGCTACATTGAAGAAAAGCCATTAAGTAGTTGTAGACTTGTAGGGTTAAATTTTAATGTTCTAGAAATTTGCTATTCGTTGTAAAAATCAAGATTACTATTTGTAGTAGCCAAAGCACCTTACTAATGTGGCAATTTGACAAAGTCCTTAGCATTCATCAGATTAACTTCTTTTACCAGGATTGAAGTTATGAATATGAGTTAATGGTTGCAGCTCTTTGGGGTATAGGATAGGGAGGGGTGGATTGCACACAGACTTAACCTTTGGAGCACCCCCCTCGTCTAAATAGACACCCACACACAACAAAAGTAGTTTGGGCTTAGAACCTAAGATATGGAGTATATAGCCCAGCCCAGGCTAGGCTTTGGGCCTATGTCATTAAATAATAAACTTTGAGGTATTTATAATACTTGATTGTGCAGTTTTGAAATTATGTTGGTTATGTTGTGCCTTTTGGTTGCTTCTAACTGGAAAATCCACTTATCCTCAATGTTATGTTCTAGTGTGGCTGGAGACACATGTGTTGCAATGGCCGAGTGGGTGACACACCCAACTGCCCATACAGCCCTTGATGATATTCTTCCTTGTGTGGATGAAGCAACTGCCAATGAAACCTTGATTAGAACCAAGGAAGTTACAATCCAACTGGTGAACATGATCAACGCTGTCATCACCAGTATCTCTAATGTCAACTTCTCGCCCAACCTCAGACCTCTTTATTTCAATCAATCTGGTCCACTGATGCCTCTTCTCTGCAACCCATTTCTTCCTGACTTCACTGATCGGCAATGCGCCACTGGGGAAGTGGATCTCAACAATGCCACACAGGTAAATCAAAAGAACCAACAGTTTTAAGCACAAGAACCAACTTGAAAAATATATATATGATTCTTCTCTTTTTCTTGCAGGTGTGGAAGAATTATGAGTGTCAGGTTTCATCAGATGGGATTTGTACCACAGTAGGCCGTATTACCCCAGAGTACTACAACCAGATGGCAGCAGCAGTGAATGTGAGCTTTGGGCTGAACCATTATGGTCCATTCTTAGTTCATCTGGTAGATTGTGGCTTTGTACGTGACACATTCCAATCCATAACCACAAATCACTGTCCTGGTCTGTCACGATACAGTGAATGGATCTATGTTGGCTTGGTCATGGTCTCAGTTGCTGTGATGCTCTCTTTGATATTCTGGGTGGTTTACGCTAGAGAGAGGCGGCACCGAGCATACACCAAACAGGTCATTGTCAGATCAGGAGGATATTATGATGACAAGTTCCCATAGAAAATTTCTAGTTCCGTCTATCTTTTTTGGGTAAGCTATATTGTTCTCTTTCATTTGGTTTTAGCCTTTCAGGTTGTGTATATACATATTAGCAAGTTGTAACATCTGTATATGATGCTACGCTTCTTTCTCATGGGCTTTATCCGTGCGAAATACAGTGAAGCTGCATTAATCCTTTCCATGAACAGAATTTACCAACATAGTGTCTGAATGCTGCTACCTGTGTGTAGTCATGCTCGACAAATACGCTTGAGAGTGCTGCATTCCCCTTGTAAAGTTTCTGATGGAAGTTCTTTGATGAAATATAGCAGGTGGGCGGCTATTTGCTCTTTTGACTCAGGTGCTCCATCTGTATTTTTGTATGTGATACATTTGACAACCCAAACTAGAATTCAGGGTGGTTTGAGGTTCTCTGAGTATTATTTACCCATTGGATCGAGATGGCATCTGCTGTGATCATGGCGCACAAAAATCTTGCCACTGCCTAATAATAAAACATGCACGTACACGGCAAGGATGCAAGAGTACCTCTGAAAAGGGGGGAGAGGAGTTTTGAGGCTTTTTTTTTTTTTTTTTTTGTTGGGCGGTTGGTTACACGAAGCAGATCTGAGGTCGGTCCACTGGGTCAACTTGGTATCTATCACTATTCTGTGAGAAACCGAGAATTGATTGCATGTTCTTGTTATCAAATGCCTCGGCTGAGGAATATTTTTGTAGCTTTCACATGGGTCATTTTAGCCCATTTTGTGTTCTTGTACTTGTTTGGCAAACCAACCCATATTTTGCATATTCCATGGCGACATGTGAATCTAAGCAAGTCAATAAATGATTTACTGATTCCATCGATGAACTGAACTTATCTTGTAGTCAAGGATACTGTGCAAATGTATGGGTACTACACTTAGATACATTAGGGAAATGCATCTATACTTCTAAAGATATTTATATATCCTAACAATAAAATAGGTGTATGGTCTTGCGTTCTCCTTCCAAGAATCCATATCCCACATACAAAGACCATGAAATGTGTGAAAATGACCTCAAAAAATTATAAAAATGCCACATTAAGACAAACTTCATTATATAGATTTTAAGGTATTTGAAAATTACGGTAAGTGTCACATCTAAGACAAATTTACTCTATTTACCTCACTATGTAATTGCCTCTATGATATTCAAAAATTATAGGATTGCCACATATAAGACAAACATTCCAATGCAAGTAATTATATGGGATTGGAAAATTATAAGAGTGACACATATATGACAAATTTACTCCCTTTACTGCATTATGTAATTGCTTCTATGTTATTCGAAAATTATAGGACTGCCACATATAACACAAACATTCAAATGTAATTGACTCTCACATTCAAAAATTATAGAAGTGCCACATAATTATTTACGATTATGCAATCCTATAAAATAAAATGTCATCCATCTTCTTTCTCACCTAATTCTCTCTCCTACTATTCTCCATCTCAACTTTTATTTAATCATTTAATAATAATAATAATAATAATATTATTATATAAGCATTTATTTATTTAATAAAAGTAAATAAATTATTTATAAATCAGTAAAATAAAGGTGATTTGACATTGAAATAAAGATTTTAATAAAAATTATTTATTTATTTATTTATCTTACTAAATTATTAATCTATTTAGAAATAATTTACTAACAAATTATTCTCTCCCCTTGAACCCAAAATTTAGGGCTGCCAGTTGATCGAATCTAGTTCGAAATAGCCTATACTAGTCCCATCTCAATAAACTTTTATTTATTCATTTATTTATTTTGGTCAATTTAATAAATTATTATATAAATATTAATTTATTTAATAAAAACTAGGGTTGAACCAATGGGTTGGGTCTAGTTAATGGAGCTAAATTGATTGAACATAATTATAACGGTTATGGTTTCATGATTGTCTCAATTAATAATTAGGTTGTTTTTGTTCTTACCTATCCAAAATTGATTTAGATTCAAACTTTATTGTTTTATTGAAATATATAATTTTTTAAATTTCTTGTAATTTTTATCATGTTTTGTGTTTGAAATAATAAATTTGATAGATAATAAATAAAATAATATTAGTTAACAATGTTTTAACTTATTAAAAATAATTTAGTATTATTTTAAGTTATTATTTGAATATAATTAGGTCTATGATTTTATTTCAATTAGTGGCATGGAGGAAGGGATTATAACCGAATAAACTGGTTTTTAACTAGTTACACCTAGATTTTTAGAGTCTTGAAATTTTGATAGTTAGTGGCATGGAGGAAAGGATTATAGAATCTTGAAGTGTTGAAATTTGAGCTTTGGTCACATAGACAACTTGCATGGGACTAAATTGAACTTGCTCCATCACCATCTTACATCTAGATATTTAGATATGCCAAAGAATAATAGAATCCTAAACAAAGACGAAGAGAGTAGTGAGATCAAAAGGGCTCTCCTTAGTAAAGCAATCACTTAACCAGTTATGAAACTTTCAAGTAGAATGGGCATCAATGTGGATGGCCAAAGGTGAAACAAACCACACAATATGCATAACTCGCACTGGAAAAATCAATGATCAATATTCTCAATGGCCCGACCACAAAGATAACATATTGGAAAAATCAATGATCAGTATTCTCAATGGCCTGACCATAATTGACAATGATTTGTTAAGAATCACCAACATAGTCACATAATAAGTGCAATATCTATACAATGAAACTCTTTAAAGCCCAACCCACCATTGGATTTATTTGTGGTTATAGAGACCCACTTCTTTATGTATAGATGGTTCTTATCAACACAAATTTCTCATTAAAATTACTTTAAAATAGCATTTAAACAGTCAAAACAATTAATTGACAACAATTTAGTGGATATTATATATGTTGATAAGGCAAAAATGGTTAATTTAAGAAGTAAAATTCAACTAGCATGTGAAAGCATCTGACATTTCTCGACTACGCATTACTCTAACTCGTAGAGAAGAAATCATCATTCTTTAACTATGCCTATGTACATTAGGAGAGAAGCAAATTAAAGACTTATTGCAACCCATATCTTGCCCTGACCAACTATGAAAAATTGTAAGATCTTTAATATAAGTGATATCTTGCATAAAATTATGACCAAGGATAATAATATCATCAACATCCATAATATCATTAAGTTTAATTTCTCCCGATCCCATTCGGGTATCATCAAATCCAAATATTATTTGTTGGTTTCACTTACACATTTACCTATGCAAAATATTAAAATGGGCCCCACTCATGTATTTTCCTATATAAAATAACAATGTAATCCTTATTTACACATAGATTATTATATGACAAATAATATTTCAATATATGTAATTAGTTTAATATTAATACTTCTTTCTAATAAATAGTTCAACACAAATAATCCAATACATTCATCAAATAAAAACACAACATATTTGAAAAAATAACATTAATCATGTTGTTTGCCTTTTCCTAATGTCCTTTGTCTAAAGCAAGTTACTTTTAAGTTGTAATGTTCTGCCATTTACAATATAATTTCATCTTGTACTAATTCTATTTAGCTTGATTTGTCTACAAGCTTGGAATCTAATACTAATTGTTGTTTAAAAAATATTGTTAAACATTTCCCCACCTTCAATTGGTATTTTTGACTCCAAGAATTCATTCTAATATACATCTTGTATACATGATAGCCTAGTAAAGCTATGCAATACACAACATGCAAAAACAATTCATATTTGCTTTTTACATTGGATATGATGGCATCAATTTCAAGTTTGGAAATCTTACTTTTAGAATGCTAAAGCAACATTCTATTGCATTTCTTAATAAACATGGTATAAAAATGAATTATTCTTTGACAGTTTTTGAACAATCCCCTCTTTTCATGAAATCTTTTAAGTGATATGTCTCAATTCCTTTTAGTAAATATAAAGAGCATGTCAAGTGAGCATGAACATATCACATTTTAAGTTATCACTAATATTTTTTTTTCTCTAAATGGAATTTGGTTAGCAGTTGGAACGCATACATGAACATTTGTGTCATCTATTACACCAACACATTTTTATAAAAATATATACAACGAGAATTTAAATGCAATTTACTAAAAATTAATTATTATTAAATAAGCAGAATATGTGGATTGTTATCTCAAACCATGGTAATACTTAGAATTGTTTAGAATCTCAGGCAAAACAACATTAAAGTCTCTTAGTCACACAATCTCTTTTCCATATTCACATAAAGCCTTCGATACAGAATTAAAGTATCGAGATAATGTTTCCCCTAAATGTAAAAACAATCGGTTGTATCTCGAAGCGATTTATTGTATTAAATTATCTTCAATGTCATCCAAACTTGTTTATTAGTAAAGACGTATTGATTATCTTTGACTAAATCTCTCTGTCTTAAAGAAGCTATCAAATTGATCAACTCATTTGGGCATTTTAAACATTTCTAAATATCTTTTACCATTGTTTAAATAACATTATACAAATAGTTTGGTCCAATTAATAAGTTGTCATGATAATGTGTTTTTTAAATAATATCATTCTATTTCTTTGTAAATGTATATAATAAGGTTATATTAAGATGTTTATGACTATATGCAACAGTTGCTCTTAACTTATAGTATCATCAATTTTTACTTGAACACATGTTAATGTTTAACAATCAATAAGAAATAATATCATATATAATGTGATAAAAAATATATTCATTAAGTTATTTTTAAAGGAATCCATAATCTCATTAAAATCCATTCATCAAGTTGCATTTAAAGCAATCATTAATAAGAAACAAAGTTTAATATATCTAAGTGAACAAAATATAAAAATAAAATAAATTAGTCTCTCGTGCCCTAAGCTTCCTATCCACAATCTTAGTAATATATTTCTTCATAAGTTAAAATGGCAGCGTTAGATACCATTTTTTTGCAAATGGCTTGTAAAACATTTTATAAAATTTGTAGTAATGCCGATACTTTAGTAATATTGTGTTTATGCCACAATAATCTTTAGTAATATTGCAAATGGCTTATAAAACATTTTATAAAATTTGCAAATGGCTTGTAAAACATTCTATTGTGTTTATGCCACAATCTTAGTAATACATTTCCTCCTAAGTTAAAATGACAGTGTTAAATACCATTTTTTGTAAATGGCTTGTAAAACGTTTTATAAAATTTACAATAATCTCGATACTTTAGTCATTTTGTTGTGTTTGTATCTACCATCATGATTGCGATTAATTATTTTTTCATTCTCTTAACTATTGCATTCAACACAGATACCAATGAAGCTATTCTTTTATTGACAAGTTCAATAAATTATGGCATAACTTCACCGATGTCCAATGTCTTATTCTTTCGACTTTCCTTCCTAGCATTTGAAATAAAAATTTTAACAATATCAGCAATAATATCATCACTTTCATTCACCACATCCTCAATAAATTGTTCAGTTTCAATATAATTTGCTTGAAATCTAGAGAAAATTACACCCTATGTGCCAATGTGGTAGCAGACCAACCAATAGGAATTGTCCTCCCAAATATCACATTGAGATGATCATATTCTGGACAACCCATGGTGCAGAACCTCTTAGCTGTAGAAATAACCTAACAACAAAAAGAAGAGATATAAATAATTAAATTCAAAACCAAGTTACAAACAATATAAAAGTCTTCCAAAAAATGTTTGAGTTATACCGCTAAATACATGCCCCATGTCTTTAATGATTTTATGACCGTATGTTTTTCTTCATTCCAATCATACCTTGTCTACCCAAATCTCAAATTTGAAAACTCTTTATACCTAAACATTAATTCTTGAATC